TGGTGGAGGATTGCTTGTTTGCAGTGACCACGTGATGTCTCACGGCTTGTGCTGAAGATTCACTGATGTTTTTGGGACTTTTTATTTACTGTATCTTGCTTATTTATATATATATATATATATATATATATATATATATATATATATATATAATATATATATTTGTTGATCACTCATTCACATGTTTGATTACACCTAGTGGTTATGTGGATGTTTTGTTGCGTGCTAAGTATTTTTTGGTCACGCTTTTACTCCTGTTGCTATTTGTCACACTTGTCGTTGTTTTTACACTTGTTGCTGTTTCAGCATTTTTTTCATCTTCACACCTGGGGTTTATTTCATCTTAACACTTTATTTCATTTATATATATTTTCATGTTTATTGTCCATTTATTCATGCACTGAGTAGTGCAACACCAATTCACTATTCATTTTATCTGTTTCACTATTGGGAATATACCGTATATTTCGCTCCATAAGACCCACTTTTTCCCCCCCAAAAAATGGAGGAAAATGTCTGTGCTTCTTATGGAGCGAATATGGAGTGGCCGGCCCGGTACTCCCCCCGTGTTAGAATACCAGGGCGGCTGCTTGGCTCTTCTCTGCAGACCTCCACCGGCCCTATCTGTTCCTCGGTCCAGAGGTGTTCTCACAATTTTCTCTTCTCAGCACCGGCATGGGCACCCGGCTGTGACAGCTTGCATCTTCACAGCCAGGTGCCCACTGTGCATGCGTGAGAAGCGCCACGCTTTCTGAATTACCCTGTATTCTTCTGGGACCGGTCACATGTCCCAGAAGATTACGGGAGGGAGGACGACTCCGTGGAAGTGAGAGCAGGTACCTGTCAAATTTGGGTACCCTCTCCCCAAAGGCCCGCAGTCTCTGGTAATTTGTACTAAAGTCCACAGTCTCTGGTCATCTGTACTGTGTCCACAGTCTCTGGTCATCTGTACTGTGTCCGCAGTCTCTGGTCATCTTCTGTACTATGCCCGCAGTCTCTGGTCATCTCCTGTACTGTGTCCTCAGCTTCTGGTCATCTCCTGTACTGTGTTCGCAGTCTCTGGTCATCTCCTGTACTGTGTCTGCAGTCTCTGGTCATCTCCTGTACTGTGTCCTCAGCTTCTGGTCATCTCCTGTACTGTGTTCGCAGTCTCTGGTCATCTCCTGTACTGTGTCCGCAGTCTCTGGTCATCTCCTGTACTGTGTCCTCAGCTTCTGGTCATCTCCTGTACTGTGTTCGCAGTCTCTGGTCATCTCCTGTACTGTGTTCGCAGTCTCTGGTCATCTCCTGTACTGTGTCCGCAGTCTCTGGTCATCTCCTGTACTGTTTCCGCAGTCTCTGGTCATCTCCTGTACTGTGTTCGCAGTCTCTGGCCATCCCCTGTACTATGTCCGCAGTCTCTGGTCATCTCTCCTGTACTGTGTTCGCAGTCTCTGGTCATCTCCTGTACTGTGTTCGCAGTCTCTGGCCATCCCCTGTACTGTGTCTGCAGTCCATTGGTTCAGAATATTTTTTTTTTCCACCTCTAAAATATAGGTGCGTCTTATGGTCAGGTGTGTCTTATAGAGCGGAAAATATGGTAGTTAGGTGTCTGCAGCCGCTGGGTGGGGGCAATAGCCATTTGGCAGCGCAGGAGGATTGTTTTTCTTTTTTTTTAAAGGTATATATACTGGAATTTTTTTTTGTACTAGTAATGGCGGCGATCAGCGACTGCAGCGGGTATTCTGACACTGATGGGGGAACTGACTAACTGTCACTGACATCCCCAGTGACACTAATACAGTGATCATTGCTAATAAAAAGCACTGACACTGTACTAATGGCACTGGGCAGGAAGGGGTTAGCATCTGGGGCGATCAAAGGGTTAACTGTGTGCTGTGTGTGTTTTACTGTGTCAGCACATTGCTTTGTATTGCTGCTATGCAGAGCCATACAAAGCAATGTGCAGGAGCTGACAGGGAGAGATCTGTATTGTTTACATTGATACTCGGCAATTGATGGGTGCTGGCGGGGAATCACCGGGCAGGACCCGGTGATCGACAGCTAAGGCCAATGGCGGCACATGTGCCCCTTGCCCGGAAATGCAAAATCACATATATATATATATATATATATATATATATATATACCTGATTTTGCGCAGCCCTTCCGCCCTGTAGCAGTATTTCTTCTATAGGGGTGGTGGGAAAGCTGTTAACTTGGGGTGGTATTTGAGGAAAACTTAGCATTTTCTCAGTGAGTTGGTTTCTGATTGAATGAGGTGTAGAGACAAGGCAGTGGTGTCATCATCCCCACCTCATTTAGTCAGAGATCACTTTGCATTCCTTGAGTTCTTGCCGTGTAAAACTGGGTACACACTAAAAGTAAACCAGGCGAACAATCGTCCAGTTTTTCTCAATGTTTCGCAGCCAGTTGAACCTGAAGATACTAATTGTATGAAAATTCTCGAACGACAAAGGCTTTTTTTTGTTTGAGGTAGAAACATTGTAGCGTAGATTAGAAAACAATGTAATTTACATGTGACTCTCTAACTAAGCCTTTCAGCGCCATACATTTGGTGTATTGCAAATTCTTCTTTCTGTCTCTGTCTCTCGAGTTTTCGTGCAGGTAGATTTAATCGGATTTGCTTGATGAATAATATTCCAGACGACTTTGAAACCTCAGCTATTTCCATAGTTGGACTTGGAGTTCTGGCAATACAGAACCAATCAGATTCATACATACATACAGATATCCTAAACACTATAGAAAGCATTACATTTTTATTTGGATTCCACATTTGAGCGTTCTACTACTGTGACTCACTGAAATGTCTTTTGTATGGTTATCATGGATATGATTATTCCTTTTTGTTTACAAAATGTATTTTCTTCATGTTCTTATGGGTCGCACATTGTTTTCAATCATCCGCAATCTTTTATATCTGATTTTTCTTGTATGAAAACAGTACACATTAAACGAAAATCGTTTGTTCTGTTCACATGCGAGAACAATTTTGGAGTTTGTCCCTTCAGAAATTTTCATTTGGCAGGCTTGAATCGGATGTCGAAAGTTGTGTACACATGATACGAAAATTGAACGATCATAATGAATATGGAATTTTTCTTCCAATTTTCCTTTAACCACTTCCCCTCCGGCCCATGTACATAAACGGCTGGATGGGAGCAGTGCCCAAGCGGGTTGCCATTTATAAACGGCCCCCGCATTTACTGCCTGTGCGTGCTACCTGGGAGCGCACAGCACCGCAATCCTCTGGACACAGTGGAACACCGATCGCTGTATGGGACCTCTGTGTGAGGTCCCGATTCATGTGATCACTGATTGGCCAATCAGTGATCACATGAACAGTAGTAAACAAGATATCATTTCCTGACATCACTGCTTACTACTTTTGAAATCTGTGAATGATCACAGAGGTCACATGGTACAAGACTATTCACAACAGCTTTGTACCATGTGACAAGCTGTGACCAATCACAGTTCTCACAGTATTTCTCAATAGCTGCAAGAATGCAGCCAGAGAGAAGGAGAAATTGATTTCTTTTACAGCCTTTATGGGTGTAAAAGCAATCAGTGTAAAAAAAGAAAAACAAATCTTCATCACACCCCCACAGTAGTACAGTGTACTATGGTGACACTGTACTGCTAGGGTGATGGTATGTTAAAAATTAAAAAAAACACATAAATAATATAATAAAAAAAAATGTAAACTAATTTTTTAAAAATTATAATTTTTGGTTTATAAACCAATTTTGTTTGTTTTTTTACTAAAAAGATAGCTGAATACATTTTGATTTAAGAAGAAAGATTATTTATTTTCGCAAAATTTTATGAGAAAAACACTTTTTTTTTCAAAATGTTTGAACTTTTTCATTTATTTAGCAAAAAAATAAAAATCCCAGGGTGAATAAATACCATCAAAATAAAGCTTTATCTGTCTCAAAAAAAATGCTAAAAAAATTCATATGGGTACAGTGTTGCATGACCGCGCAATTGTCATTCAAAGTGTGATAGCACTGAAAGCTAAAAATTGGCCTGGACAGGAAGGGGGTGAAAATGTCCGGACTTGAAGAGGTTAATGTATACATAGACTAAGATGCAGCTGGAATAAGAGGCAGGTTGGCTTGTGAGCTCATGACTTTACAGACTGGATGCTAAGTGAGCACTGTATAGAGATTATTAAAATTGAATTCCAGGTGGGGATATTTTATACAAAGTTATATTGGCCCAGCCTGTGATGTCACCCCCCCCACCTCACTTCCTCGTCCAATCAGAGTTCTTTGAATTCATTCAGAAAATGTTAAGCAGTCTTTAGGTGGCACTGGTGGCAAGCAGCCGACCTCTTGCTGATGATGAAGCTTGACGACATCACATCGTTGGAAACCTCTCATTGCATCACTTCAATAACTGGTGTGCTTTTTGTACCTGGACTTCGCCGAGATAAATAGCTTTTCACTTTACTTAGGCTTGTATCACATCTATGCGGTTTTTGGTGTTTTTTTGCAGGAACGCACTACAGTCCATTTAACATGGTTTCACATCTATGCTATTTTCAGCTGCTGTGTTTTTGGAAAGGGTCAGAGACTTTTTTAAACGCAAAACGGTGTGTTTTTGGTTCAATAGACTTCAATGGAGATGCTGTAAAAAAGCATGTAGTGAACTTTTGCCACATTTATGGCCTGTTTTGCATTTTTTAATCTGCCCAACAACAAATTGGCCCCAAAAAAAGCATGAAAAAATAAAAAATAAATGCGTTAAAACGCGTGTGCAAAAACGCAAAAAGCACTGCAGAAACGGGTCAAAGGCAAACTGCAACTGAACCAAGCCTTATACATTACTGAATTACGTTTTTTTGCCTTCAGCCCTTAACCACCTCCCGCCCGCCATATAGTAATATGACAGACGCAAGGTGGTTCTCTGTTCTGGGAGGACGTCATATGATGTCCTTCCATTCTCACAACGCATGCGCGGCTCCTAGAGCGTGCAGTGCGGCGATCAGCGGTGCGCTGTGTCCCTCGGACACAACAGATCACCGATCCACGGAAAGAGCCGAAGATGTCGGCTCGTTCATGTGATCAGCTTTGTCCAATCACAGCTGATCACATGTAAACAGGGAAATGGCGGTTATCGGCATTTCTCTCGCCATGAGCTTTCACGCTGACAGCTCGTGAGGAGAGGAGAGCTGGTGATCGGCATTCCTCAGAGGTGACATCTTTACTGATCATCAGGGCACTGATGATCAGTGTGCCCTGATGATCTGTGTAGCCCCAGCAGTGCCACCTGTCAGTGTCCATCAGTGCCAGCTCTCAGTGCTCATCCATGCCACCTGCCAGTGCCCATCAGTGCCACATTTCAGTGCCACATCAATGCCACATATCAGTGGCATCTGAGCTGCCTTTCAGTGTCACCCATCAGTGCCAGTCAGTGCCACCTATCAATGTCACCTATCAGTGCTGCCAGTCAGTGCCACCTATCAGTGCCAGTCAGTGCCGCCTATCAGTGTGCATCAGTGCCGCCTATCAGTGCCCGTCAGTGCTGCCTATCAGTGCCGCCTAACAGTGCCAGTCAGTGCTGCCTATCAGTGCCATATATGAGTGCTGCCTTTCAGTGCCCATCAGTGTTGCCTGTCAATGCCCATCAGTGCAGCCTATCAGTGCCCATCACTGCAGCCTCATTAGCGCACATCAGTGAAGGAGAAAAATCACTTATTTACAAAATTGTATAACAAAAACTAAGGAAAAACATTTTTTTTCCTTTTGTTTAAGAAAAAATAAAAAACCCTGAGGTGATTAAATACCACCAAAATAAAGCTCTATCTGTCACAAAAAATGATAAAAATTGCATATGGGTACAGTGTTGCATGACCGCGCAATTGTCATTCAAAGTGCAACAGCGCTGAAAACTGGAAATTGGCCTGGGCAGCAAGGGGGTATAAGTGCCCTGCAGACTAGTAGTTAATAACCATCTATAATACGGCCTGACAGCTTATATTTTTAGTACAACGTATGTTGCTTGGACAGATCAACTGATAAAAAATACATCTGTAAGGGTTGCACTGATTGCTTCTAAGTCTTATTGATTTCTGTGCTGTTCTGGTGTGTTTTTACCAAGTGTCCCTGGTCAATCGATTGATTCGCTCAGCTTACTTGTGGAGAACAATCGTGTGTAGCTTCATTTTCATTCAGGTGTTTTCCATGGTGATGTCATGTACCCTTCTCTATTAACCACTTTTTCGAGGAAACAAAAGCCATTGGCGGTTTCTGGGACAGATCACTTCAAGCAAAAAGGGCCTTGTGCAGTGTACAGATTCAGTCACTGTTCTCCAGGCCGGCACATGCTAGAGAATGAAAGCAAGACTCTGATTGGCTGCCTTGAGCAACACAGATGTGCTCTTGTCCTCTTGTCATTAAATATGAGGCCTGATGCACCTCATATAAGTGGACCAGTACCAACAATAGCAAAGATTTGCTTTCTTGTAGGAAAAGTTAAGTGTAGCTAATAAGTACCTTGAAAATTCTTTGCCATGAATTCTTCATGAGATGTTGCAGTGTGTTTTCTAACATATGAATGCGTCAGGCCAGACTTTCTCTAAGAGTTGCATGGAATTTTAGGGTTTTTCCAAAGGTAGGGATTCCTTGAGCAATGTCTGCCTCTTGGAAATGCAACTGATGTTCTTTTTAGCTATCACTAAGGGTAAATGGATTCCCACTGACCACCCTACAAATGCATTCCTCTCAACTTGCTGAAATGATAATGAAGGACACCTTTTAGCACATAGTATTTAGGGGAAGGACCGCAAAGACTGAAAATGCAGAAAATGATTGGCTAAACCACACAAGTGCTTTTTTGATCTTTATTTTTCCATTGTATTGGTTTTTCAAAATATCCAATGAAATAATATAGAGTTTGGATAACAGTTTAGTGCAGTGCAACACTTTTGGTAGTAAAATAATACGTTTTGTATAGAGATGTACACATCAGACCAAAAAGAGGGACAGAGATTGATTTCAGATAGAAGGGCAGTACTTCCAAATGAGGCATTTTTTTAAATCAAAAAGAGTATTCATTGACCCAAAAATCATTTGATTGGTTCTTCTATGTTAAAACAAGGTTAAGAAAGGCTGGTGTAGGCCACAGTGAGTTCATCTGAGGCATTTCCTACCCCTCCTGTCCTACATTCATTGGTGTCTTCCTTATCGCTGTAATGACAGTTGGCGATGCCACAACTGTGCTGCTCATTGTGCCGAGGCCTGGTGGACATAAAGCTGTGAATTAATGTCCTTGCTTCTTTTTATTTACTGACTCTGAATCTGTGCTGTTTCCATCTCTCCTATTGCCTATCGATCATTCTCCATCAATTATGAGGTTTTTTTCATTCATTATTATTATAATTAATAATAATAATAATTTTTTGGAGGGGGGGGGGTTTGGATAGGGTGGGGAAGGTTTAGGCCTTCTGTAAGGTTTTTATTGTCCTGTGGTTTCCTGCTAGGGAGGTTCACACCTTTAATTGCCCTGTAATTATTAATATTGACACAGAAAATGAGAAATGGGATAAATTTTAAATTTTAGAGTTGTCATGAGATCATGAGGTAAAGAGAAATTGTCCAAATGTTCTAGTGACAGCTTTACAAGAGGCGAATTCTTCTCACTTTGGGGAGATTTTCTGTTATTTTTTATCTTCAAGGCAAGAAATGAATGGAAATCTCCCTTGCAGGACTCAGACAGCATTAAAGCAAAACTTGATAGGTCTAGTAGTAGTTATTCACATTCAGCTGGACTTGTTCTTTAATGTTGAAGGTGTTTTGTAACTTATATAAGCTGCTTCTTCAGTTCTAACAAGTGTCAGGAAGAACCCCAAGCATTTACTGTATATCCACATGGGTATCACCAACACCTTGATCCGGTCACCATGGAAAGGCAGATGTTGTTGCCCATCCTGTTCTTGGACATAAACATCTCCCTTTCCATGGTGGCTGAATTAATATCTTGGTTCTAGCAGTGTGTATATAGGTGCTGGGGTATTTCCTCTGACACTCAATAGAACTGAGGAAGTACCTTGGATGAGCAACAAAACATCTTTACCACTACAGAATAAGTCAAGTTGAATGCAACTAACTACTACTAGATATACCATGACCTGAACAAATATGGACCTTCAAAGATATAACCTGATAGGGGTATTAACTTTCTATTCTTTGTCCAAAACATCTTTTTTAACTACACATACTGTACACTGTAAAGAAAATCTGTGTCGGAGGATGGCCTGTCGCTATAGTAACGCTTAGATTTGGTGATGCTCAAGTCCACTCCTCCATTCACAGTCCTGGTCATCTTTAGCATCTAATGAAGTTTCCCCAAGTGATGTCACTCAAGGTGGGCTGGATAATTTATACAGTAATGCGTGTGCATGAAAGGAACAATTGCAGAGCCAGCATTCAGGACAAATGCATGCAAAACGTACATTTCTGAATATATAGCTACGCTTTTAATTATGTTGTGCTTTTCTTGACTAATGCTCTGCTTTAAGCTATAAAAGAAGCACTTGCTTTCTCTGCATGTCACCAATTTTATTGTTGTTACATTCTTAAAAGAGTTCACCTGGGTTTACTTTTGCATTCATTTTGACGCATTGCAGAATACAGCCTACTCTTCAGCAAGCTTTTGTCTGGATAGAGTCGTACAAGTCTACAGTACAACTGCCGAGCTCCTTCTTGGCGCTTGTGTGTACAAATCCTAAAAATGCCTGCTGGCTGCTGTTTTTGCAATAATTTGACTGTCCTTGATGGTTTAGTAGCCAGCCACTTTATCCTTATTGGGTAGAAGAAAGCTCATTTGGTAACTATTTTACTATAACTTTCAGAAACACTCAGCTCAGCTAGAGTAATTTTAGGTGTTATTAAACCCTAAACATATGATCTTGTAGCCACTGTTACTTCTTTTCTTATAGGTTCAGTCTTTATCTTCACAGTCCCATTTATGGAGCTTAAGATCAACTTGAATGATTGCTGAAATAAACTTCAGATTTGTTATGTAACTAAGCTCACTTGTGGGGTCTCTGTGGAGCCCCAGGTCCCACCTGGGACTACTGATTGAAGGGAAGCTGTTCTGTGAACAGATACACAGCACAGTAAAAGGACAACTGCTTTGTCCACCAGTTCACCAGCAAAAAAATAGTAGAACGCATTCACAGTACATTACTGCATTTTTTTCCCTTGGAACTTGCCTCTCTCCTCGTGCCAGTCAATAGGAATTCAAAAGCAGCCCAAATAACAGCTTAAAAGAGGTTAGATGCACCTGTCAATGAATTCCTGCAGACTCTCTCCAGTCTGTTAGACTGGTCCCCTCAGCCTCTTCTACCCTATGCACAGCACTGCTGGTTGCAGAACTATGTCATCAGGACCAGTGCAGAACCCATAGCTTTACATTGGAAGTGACAACATCCACTGCCAGAACCTGGGAAAGAATTGGAGAATGCTGACTGCTGGAGAAGAGGAGGGTCGGGTAAGTAAAACTGCTTTTTGCAGCACCCTAGAACTTACCAAGCATTCAACCCTTGCAGTCCGGGGACAGTGCTACTGCATGGGAGCATTTTTTTCTTTCCCCTGGGACGGGCTTTAAGCCTTGGACTCTTTGAAATGATGGGAATGCAATTTACACAACTCTGTTGACTGGTCAGCTCTGTGAGAATGTCATCCCTAGAGAATTCTCCAGTAAAGACTGTGCAACTAATGCCTTTGCAGCCTGATTCTGGAGTCAGTTGTTTCTCTGATAGGGAATACTGTCAGGAAAATAGAACGCTAAACTAACAGCATCACCAGTTGGCTGACAGCATTAGCTAACAGCTGTTAGCTCTTGTGTTTCATTGTCATTCCAGCACCATCGAGAGCCAATGTGATTATACGAATAGTGATTTTCTAGTCAATATTTGCATAGATGCATACCCCACCTGACAATGCCCTGGGCTAGCTGGTGATATGCTAAGGCTCTTGTAATAGGGAGTTATATGCATTTTGTACTACCAAGAAGAGGAGACAATGCAGGGGTGCTCTGGGTGGCATTTGAGTGACAGATGCCAAGCTTAGAGGGACGTGGTAACAGTTTATGCTGACTCCGATATATACAAGTCCTGCTTCTTTGTTGTATAAAATATGGGATTTGTTTAATAAGGATTGCCTGTATGATGACATGACACATGCAGAATTTAAAATTCAGGAAGATAAATGTTAAAAGAGTAAGAAAATATTTTTAGGGGTTTGTGAAAGGTTTGATATTAGGATACAACTGTTTTTTCTGAATTGCTTCAAGTTACTTTTGCATTAAGTTTGACATATTTAGGGGAAAATGGGAACTACAGGCGCTTGCAAAATCTAAACTGGTCCACTGAAAAAAAAAAAGGCTTATAAAAGAAGCATCAGTGTGAAGACGTCTCTATTTTCTGGTATAAATAAAGATGCTTGATAGAAAACAGTCACATGATATTCTCAGCAAACCAAAGTCCCCCCCTGCCGTGGCGCCTGAAGCGCACGGTTACTATGGAAACCACTCAATTCCATTTTAA